GAAGGGAACAGCATTCCATGCGCCTTGGTGTTTAGTCATGCCGGCCACATGACCACGGAAACGACTTCGGACAGCGCTGGCTCTTCGGCTTGGAAACAGAGATGAGCACTGCAACCCTAGAGTCGGACTCGACTGGCTTTCGAGCAAGGGGACCTTTACCTTTACTTTTAAGGCGTGGGAACAAGATCACCTCAGCCCGCTGCACCGTCTCCACAGCATTTTAATATCACTTTTAAACAGTGGCGGAGTTCTCAGGGCAGCCACAAGGATGCCCTCACGTCCAGTTTGGCCCATAGAGTGTCTTTGTCTGGGAGAACCGGGTTTGATTCCCCACTCCTCCTCTTGCACCTGGCTGGATGACCTTGGGCAAGCCATAGTTCTGACAAGAGCTGTCCTTGAAAAAGAGCAGTTCCTGTCAGAGCTCTCTTGGCCCCACCCACCTCACAGGGTGTCTGTTGTGGGGAGGGGAAGGGAGAGGAGTTTGTAAGCCGCTCTGAGACTCCGTTGGGTAGTGAAGGGCAGGTTATATATCCAATCTCCTCCCCCTCCTGTTCTTCAGTCTGGTGTAGTGGTTAAGTGTGCAGACTCTAATCTGGGAGAACCGGGTTTGATTTCCCCACTCCTCCTCCACCTGCACCTGGCTGGATGACCTTGGGCAAGCCATAGTTCTGATAAAAGCTGTCCTTGAAAAAGAGCAGTTTCTGTCAAGAGCTCTCTCAGCCCTACCTACCTCCCAGGGTGTCTGTTGTGGGGAGTTTGTAAGCCGCTCCAAGACACCTTCGGGTTGTGAAGAGTGGGGGGGGGGAGGGTTAAATCCAATCTCTTCTTCTTCTTCGACACGGGGCCACTGCTGGACTGGGCATTTAATTCTCAGTCCCTTTCTGAATGCCCAGCATAGGAGGTCGGCCTTCTTCACCGCTGCCGCACACGGTGCTTTCCATTTCAGTCCCAAGACCTTTTTCTTTCTCCGTTGCTGCCAGTTCAGCCAGGACATAATAAAGTCAGAGGTGGCTCACTGGAAGAGCCCTTCCTTTGCACGCCAAATGTCCCAGGTCAGTCTCTGGCAGTGTCTCCGCTTAAAGGGATCGGGGTCCTGGGTTGGGTGATGTGAAGGGTCGTGGAGAGCTGCTGCTCGTCAGAGGAGGCAGGACTGGCCCGGGTAGGCCAAGGGCTTGACTCAGTGGGAAGCAGCTTCATGTGCTCGGTTGAACTGTGGAGTCCAGTGCCCGTGGATGCAGTGATGTGGCCCCGAGCATCAAAGGGTTCACGAGGACCACCCTAGACTGTTTGTTCTCTCCCAATCTAATTTCCTCCGCAGGAAAGGGGCAAGGATAACGCAGCACAACCCCTTAGCCCTGGCCCCGTTCCTAGGAGTTCAGGGCAGTTTGAACTGCGGCTGGTATCCCAAATGCTGCTGCACCACAGAGCTGCACCCAAACGCAGAGCCAGTTTGGTGTCGTGGTTAAGTGCGTGGAGTCTAATCTGGGAGAACCGGGTTTGATTTCCCCACTCCTCCTCCACCTGCACCTGGCTGGATGACCTTGGGCAAGCCATAGTTCTGATAAAAGCTGTCCTTGAAAAAGAGCAGTTTCTGTCAAGAGCTCTCTCAGCCCTACCTACCTCCCAGGGTGTCTGTTGTGGGGAGTTTGTAAGCCGCTCCAAGACACCTTCGGGTTGTGAAGAGTGGGGGGGGGGAGGGTTAAATCCAATCTCTTCTTCTTCTTCGACACGGGGCCACTGCTGGACTGGGCATTTAATTCTCAGTCCCTTTCTGAATGCCCAGCATAGGAGGTCGGCCTTCTTCACCGCTGCCGCACACGGTGCTTTCCATTTCAGTCCCAAGACCTTTTTCTTTCTCCGTTGCTGCCAGTTCAGCCAGGACATAATAAAGTCAGAGGTGGCTCACTGGAAGAGCCCTTCCTTTGCACGCCAAATGTCCCAGGTCAGTCTCTGGCAGTGTCTCCGCTTAAAGGGATCGGGGTCCTGGGTTGGGTGATGTGAAGGGTCGTGGAGAGCTGCTGCTCGTCAGAGGAGGCAGGACTGGCCCGGGTAGGCCAAGGGCTTGACTCAGTGGGAAGCAGCTTCATGTGCTCGGTTGAACTGTGGAGTCCAGTGCCCGTGGATGCAGTGATGTGGCCCCGAGCATCAAAGGGTTCACGAGGTGGAGTCATGGAGGAGAGGGACCAGTACTGGGGCCGGTGCTGTTTAATTCGTTCACCAGTGATCTGGAAGGGGGGTGAACAGCATTGCGGCCATGTTTGCAGAGGACACAAAGTTATGTTCAGGGTGGTGGAAACCAAGACTGATGGAGAAGAGCTCCAGGAAAATCTCTCTCAACTGGATGAGTAGGCGTTGTTGTTGCTGTTCAGTCGCGCAGTCGAGTCTGACTCTTCGCGACCCCATGGACCACGTCACGCCAGGCCCTCCTGTCTTCCGTCGTGCTCCGGGGTTTGCTCACTCCCACGTTCATTGCATCGGTAACTCTGTCTGACCATCTCATCCTTTGCCGTCCCTTCAGTCTTTCCCAGCATTGGGGTCTTCTCCGGTGAAGGCTCCCTTCTCATTGGGTGGCCAAACCATTTATTTAAAACACTATTAAAACATTTAAAACATTTGAGCAATCAGCAATATTCAGGTAAAGTGCAGTCAGTGGTTAGTACCCAAGATGGCATAACATGTCAGGTAGGCTCAGAAGGTTACAGGCTCCTAAGCCTATTGGCTCAAACTCACTACAGCCAGCCTCCAGCACAGGTATTAATAGTGGTCACTGATGGTAATGTGGGCGGCTCCTAATTGAAGGCCTGGCGGAAGAGCTCCGTCTTGCAGGCCCTGCGGAACTGCATAAGAGAAGAGCTTCAGCTTCAGTATCTGGCCTTCCGGGGAACAGTTAAGGTTGATTTCTTTTAGGATTGACTGATTGATTCCGTGTGCAGCAGAGGTGAAAAAGGCAACCTCCATGCTGGGGGTTATTGGGAAAGGGATGGAAAACAAAACAGCCAATATACGATGCAGCCTCATTTGGAGTACTGTGTGCTGTTCTGGTCACCGTATCCCCCCCAAAAAACCCCAAACCATTGCAGAGCTGGAAAAAGTACAGAGGAAGGCAACCAAGATGATGGTGGGGGAACCTGAAGCGCCTTCTCCTTGGGACTTTACAGTCTAGGGGGAAATGCCCCCCATGGGGGATGGACATGATAGAAAGTTACTAAATTATGCATGGGGTGGACAGAGAAAGTTTTTTTCTTCCACTCCCATAATTCTTGTTCAGTCGCACAGTCGAGTCTGACTCTTCGCGACCCCATGGACCAGACCACGCCAGGCCTTCCTGTCTTCCGCCATCCTCTGAAGTTTGCTCAATTTCATGTTCGTTGCATCTCTGACACTGTCTAACCACCTCAACCTTTGCCGTCCCCGTCTTCTTTTATCTTCAGTCTTTCCCAGCATCAGGGTCTTCTTCAGTGAGTGCTCCCTTCTCATTTGGTGGCCAAAGTATTTGAACTTCAGCTGCAGTCTCTGGCCTTCCAGGGAACAGTCAGGGTTTATTTCCTTTCGGACTGACTGATTTGATTTCCTTGCAGCCCATAATACCAGAACTCAAAGAGACACCCATGGAAACATTGTGAAAAAGGCTCAGGACGGACAAAAGGGAATACTTCTTTATTCAACAAGTCATTAAATTGTGGGACCCACTGCCGGTGGATGTGGTGATGGCCAGGGAAACAGATGGCTTTAAAATCGGTCTGGTTAGATTGGTCGGCCCTCCAGGGCAACTGGCTGACCACTCTGTGAAACGGGAGGCTGGGCGAGATGGACCCTCACGGGCTGACCCAGCGGGGCCCTTCATGTTCTTCTGAAGGGGGGCAGCTTGCAGTGGTCAGAACCAGTTCCCAGGATAGGCACGCAATGTATTGCTGCAGCTGGTTGTTTTCAGGCAAAGGCACTGGGCAGAGGCTTTTGATGTGCAAGAACACCCTGTTTTTAGGGCAGGAGATCAGCCCACTTAAGAACATAAGAGAACACAAGAACATACAGAACACTTCTGTAAACTGGGCGGCGGGAAGGGTATTCCGGTGGGTTTATCACATAGCCACTACCTGTGTTCAAAGGGGGATCCCATTCACTGCGTTGCTGTGGAGGTGTTGGAAGAAAGAAGAGGAGATTGGATTTATACCCCGCCCTTTCCATGGAGTCTCCGAGTGGCTTACAAACTCCTTTCCCTTCCTCTCCCCACAACAGACACCCGGTGAGGTAGGTAGGGCTGAGAGAGCTCCTTCAAGACCTGCTCTTTCAAGGACAGCTGACAGGACTATGGCTTGCCCATGTGGAGGAGTGGGGACATCAAACCCGGCTCTCCCAGGTTAGAGTTCGCACTCCTAACCACGACACCAAACTGGAAGAGCTGTGTGCTGCCACACTGGGGACTCAGGCAGCAGAGGGTGAACCTCCTCTGTTTCAGTGGGTCCCTGGGTGACCCACACTCCATGTGGGCTGTACAGTCAGGTGTAGCCGACACAGGTCTGGGGTGCACACAGCCGTACCTGAAAAAACTGCAGAGGCCGTGCCGCTTCCAGCTTATCTGAATCCACAGTGCTCTGCCACCGAGAGCCAGCGTGGTGTTGGGGTTGAGAGCGGCAGAATCTAATCGGGAGAACCCAGTTTGACTCCCCACTTCTCCACAAGCAGCCAGCTGGGTATCCTTGGGCAAGCCACAAGTTCTCTCAGGGCTCTCTCAGCCCCCCCCACCTCACAGGGTGTCTGTTGTGGGGAGGGGGAGGGAAAGGAGATTGTAAGCCACTCTGAGACTCCCTTGGGTAGTGAAGGGAAGGGGTATAAATCCAACTTCTTCTCTCTGCTCTTAGCATGACACTTGGTACCTCAGGAAGGAGCCAGTTTGGTGTCGTGGTTAAGTGCACGGACTCTAATCTGGGAGAGCTGGGTTTGATTCCCCACTCCTTATCCACCTGCACCTGGCTGGATGGCCTTGGGCAAGCCGTAGTTCTGACAAGAGCTGTTCTTGAAAAAGAGCCATTTCTGTCAAGAGCTCTCTCAGCCCCACCTCCCTCCCAGGGTGTCTGTCTGTTGTGGGGAGGGGAAGGGAAAAGGAGTTTGTCAGCCACTCTGAGACTCCTTTGGGTAGTGAAGGGCGGGGTATAAATCCAATCTCCTCTTCTTCTTCTTGGCCAAACGTAGTTTTGTATTTTTTAAGCTGTTCTCCTCTGTGCACCACTTAGTGGTTCACACTACCTGTGGCTCCCCTCTAAGCTGTGGAGTCCTGTGAGCAAAAATCCTACTTTGTGAGCTACTGGCATTAAAGCTGTGAGTGAGCAATTTGGCTCCTGCATAAATTAGTCTGCTCTGGAGCCCTCCTTCCCGAGCCAAGACAAAAATGTGTGAGCCGGAGGCTAAAAAACTGGGGGCTGGCTCTCAGTAGCTCAGCTTAGAGGGAGCCCTGGCTGTGGCCCTTGCCGTTCTCTTCCAGTGGGTGGCTTGATTTCTAGCCCCCACCCAACCCGGCTCCGCCCAAAGTGTGTGACAGTTGTATGCAGTGCTCCCTCTAAGCCGTGGAGTCTTGGTGAGCAAAAATTCTACTTGGTGAGCTGCTGGCATTGTGAGCAAGTGATTTGGCTGTTGCATCAATGCGTTTCCTCTGGAGCCACATCCTTTCTAAAGCAAAAATGTGTGAGCCAGAAGCTAAAAAAAACTCAGCTAGCTCACACGAACTCAGCTCAGAGGGAACACTGGTTCTATGTGGTTCTTTCAGAGCTAATTGCTTGCGATGGACCTATGTGGACCCACTAAGCTGGAATCCAGTAGCACTGCAGAGGCCAACGAAATTTGGGCAGGGGGCCCGAAGCTTTTGAGACTCTTGGTATTGGGCGGTTCCGCTGCGGACCAACCCAGCTCCCCTCTGAAACGATCCGAACCCACCAAGCCTCTGGTTCCTCTCGCCTGCCTCGGCCTGCTCCTAGTGGGCCTCCCAGCCCTGTTCTCTCTCCGGTCATCTGGAGCAGGGGAGGCTGAGGCCAGGCCTTGGCTTGCGCTGCAGAGCATGTGCCTACGTCCCCGTCTGGACAGGTCAGCAGGTTGATCTTCGGCCCAGGTCAGCCTATTGCCCTGCTTCGATGGCCAGGTGAATGGGCTGCTCTTCAGTGCGGCATCCGGGGCAGGGTGCTGGTGATGATGCCCCCTCGTGCCACACTGGCCGATCCCAGGGAAACCCACGCACCGAGGCGGCCCTGCGCTTTGGGACCCTGCCGCCTGGAGAAGACCCAGGGGTGTGAGGGGCTGCTGGGGCACAAAGGCCTGGATCGGTTCCTCTTGTGTACCTGAGGATAAACAGCCCGTGATTTGTGCAGAACCCGCTGGCTGGGAATCCATGCGAGGCAGCACCGCGCTGCGCTCAGCCGACGCCCCTCGGGCTGGAACAGCGCCCCCAGTGCAAAAGGTGCGCGCGGGCCGCACGCCTCCGAGTGTGGCGAGACGCAGTTAGCCAAGAAGAGCTGCGGGATGTGCAGAACCCGCTGGCTGGGAATCCATGCGAGGCAGCACCGCGCTGCGCTCAGCCGACGCCCCTCGGGCTGGAACAGCGCCCCCAGTGCAAAAGGTGCGCGCGGGCCGCACGCCTCCGAGCGTGGCGAGACGCAGTTAGCCAAGAAGAGC